AAGCCAGATAACACACACCAATTAGTTAAACTGCAGGAATGTCTTAAAGACATAAAGACTTGGATGGCCGCTAACTTTCTGCTTCTTAATTCAGATAAAACTGAAGTAGAAAGAGAGCAGATTTCTCCTGTGTTGGCTTCCTGTTAAATCCAGAATTCAAAATCCTGCTCCTCACATACAAAATCTAAAATAATCAGGCCCCACCGTAGCTTAAAAACCTCATAGAGCACTTTGCTCTCAGATGGCTGATTTACTTGTTCAATTCAATTTTAGGTGACAGGTGAAGAGGCCATGCTACTAGCAAGTTGGCTACGAGCTAAGCTAAGCTAGGGACTCTCCAAAGAACGAGTACTGTGAATATAATTAGCTGGTGATTCAACAGAGAGTGTGCGTTATTATGTTGGTGCTGGAAGTGTCTGAAGATCGCACTGTGAAATAAGATGTAACATATAAGTGTTTAATTATATTGGCCACACAAAACACAACTGTCTGTTGTAACAGGAAGTAAAAATCTAAAGCAGAGAGAGACATGTGACCCAAAGGCTTGGAAAGGATTCAGCAACAGCAGCTGATTGTAAGCTAGCATTTTGCCAGTTAATGTTGGGGTTCAGTATCCTGAAGTCACAAAAACAGTTTGATTACGTTCTCACATCACATGAGAATGTCCAACAGGCCACCTCAAAGAAAGCTTCACCAACGCGGGGTTAAAGCAGGGATGGTTGGCTCAGCTCTCAGTGTCGTACACGTGGTCATCAGACAGCGCAGGGTACTGTTAGCACAGGCAGCTAGCGTCTCCAGCACAGCTGAGGAACTGAAACTCTCTTAGCTTTGCCATGTAAGTGAATGTTTGCAAAAACACCCTTGCAAACATCAGGGACCATCACGCACTGAAGTAACGTGGATGTGTTTCTGGATGTTTTGGTCATTCTCCATTTGAACTGTGAAGCACTGTCCTTGGTTGTTTATCTGACACTATAGCTCTGTGTGCTCTGTACACAAGCAGAGTCACACTTTTCTCCTCCCATCATTCATTAATCAAAAAAAACAGGTTTCACGTTCAAAGTCTTTCTTCACGTAGAGTGCACACATTGGTTTTCATCAGAAGCCTCTGTACGGAGCATCTCTTGATTTATTCCCATCTACTTGGTTTTTCCTAACTTGGCTGAATCTCATGAATTCTGCAGGCAGTCACTGTAGCTGTGTCCTTCGTGTCTTCTGATAGTGTGCAGCAGACGACCCATTTGATTCATTTTGTCTTTCTTGTTCCCTTTTTTCCTTGTTTACTTCCAGAGTTACCAGCTGAAGAGGGTGAGTTATCTCCTTCTGCAGTGTTTTTTCTTTCTGACACCAGGTTTTTCACTCTATCAGTGCCTGTCAGTCTCAGTCTGCCTCTTCCTCCTCTGTACTGGTCCATGCAGGGAAGTCCCTGTGGGAGCTGGTGGTGGAGCAGTTTGAGGATCTCCTGGTTCGAATCCTGCTGCTGGCTGCATGTATCTCATTCGTAAGGAAACCACAAAGTTCATCATCACCAGTTCCACAGTTAAAATGAATCTTGTGTTTGTGTGAATAATACAGCAAATATCAGGTTAATCATGCTGGTATGAGGCACACGGGCTTGGGTCTGAAGTTATTTTTGGTTTTTGAGTCACAATTTTGCTTTTCTTCAGTCATATAATCTGTTATCCACGCAGAGTATAAACGAAGTGTGGTGTAGGCCCTCACCTATCTCTGTGGCTTCTCTGTCCACCAGACCCTGGCATGGTTTGAAGAAGGTGAAGGGACGATCACAGCCTTTGTCGAACCTTTCGTCATACTCCTCATCCTCATTGCAAATGCTATCGTGGGTGTGTGGCAGGTAAACCCCGTGTGTGTGTGCACAGGTGATTGTCTCATCAGTATGAGGTCATGTTGGCAACAATATGACTGAATCTCTAAATGTTGGGATCATATAGCAGACTGCTGGCAGCTGATGATGTTTTCACTTCTACCATTTAAGAATGTGGCTGCTTACAGGTTGTATATGTGCGTATCTGGGCTGCATGGCCCCGAGTCGCACACGTTAACACTAGGAAAGCACCTCCACCTCCTTCCTCACCAGTTTTGGGTTATGTTACTATGTTACACTTAAGATTACTGCCATTAAAAGGTGACTGTATGATGAGCCTGAGAAAAGCTCCTCACTTGAATCCAAAAATAAACGATGTGTAGCCTGCTGCGCACTGACCTCATTTACTCCACATAACCAGCTAAAAACGTGTTCGTGTCACTTCGAGTGATGGCTTTTTCCAAACTGTAGATGCCACGCTCTGTGCCGTCTCTTGGTCTGAACAAGAGCTGGTGCACTCGCTAACGTCTGTAGTGGATTGTTGCTTATTTGGAAAATGAACTAAAAACTATAAAACGAAGATGTTATTTGTTACAAAGCAGTTACACTGTTGCTTTCAGCTGCATCTCCGCAGCAGATGGGTCTGCATGTTTGCTTTGGTGCATGCTCTTCCTGATGTAACCGTCCCGCTTATCCAGGACTGGGACCAGCAGCAGCAGTTTGTCAGCCTGTAAAGCTCTGCTTAGGCGATAATTAGTTGAACTTAATTTGGCTTTTTGGCTTCAAGTAATGGATCAAATTAATAATTGATTTGTAGCACCATGCTAATGCTAACACCAGGGCAGTATACTTGTACAGGTTACTTTCTTCTTGTTCCTGGACGCAGTGTGAAATACTGCATCATGGTTAAACACATTTGTATGTGTGTTTGTAACAGAGACGTCTGAGCTGAGCTTTCAGGAGTTTATTAGCACAATTAAAAGTTTGCTGATTAATCATTTCATAAAAGCTTGGTGGTTCCTGTCACTGATACCTGCGACTTACTTTGAACGGTCTCATTTTCTGCTGTGTTTGTAGGTCAACAGGAAATAACCAAAGACCTAATCACGTTTTGGCTTTCTGTTTCCTGGATTAGTGTGTGTATGTGTGTGTGATCTCCTGTCATGTTTGATGCCCACACACCAACATACATGAGCTATGTTGAAAACTGACGTGCCGCTGTGTCCTGCAGGAGCGTAATGCAGAGAACGCCATCGAAGCTCTGAAGGAGTACGAGCCAGAGATGGGCAAAGTGTACCGACAGGACAAGAAGAGCGTGCAGAGAGTCAGAGCCCGAGACATCGTTCCTGGAGACATCGTGGAAGTGGCAGGTAAACGAAATCATGAGATTCAAAGACACATCTGTCAAGGTTGTGTCAGGTTCTGCTGTGTGGATGGTAAATTCATCTTAAATGAGCCAAATGCAGGAGACAGACATAAGCTTTTAATGCTCATAATACAGGAAATAGAAAAGTCTGAAACCCAAAATCCCCAGAGGAACAGCAGCGAGGATTCAGACAACACACGAGACCACGAGAACTCCAAGCTCACCATGAAGAATAATAAAAAACTTAATAAGGAAACCATGAAGAAGAGACTCCTCTAAACACAGGGGACCAACGAAAACAGCCCTACAAACAGTACACGGAGTATTTAGTATAACAGACACGGTCAAAAAGGAATCAAGGATTCACAAAGACTCTGAACTCTGGGTCTGAGCCTCGACGTCGTTCTGTGGTCCACTGTCCTGCGTCCGTCCTCTGTTCCCCTGTGTGGGAACGTCACACGTTGTGTTCAGCACTTCCTGTGAGCCAAAATGAGTGCATGCTAATAATGTTAGCATTAAATAGCACCTGAGAGCTTTCTGCTCAGCTTCACGAGTCGGTGCATCGTGCTCACTGTCGTGTATCTGAGCCTATAATGTTGGAGAGCACTGGCTACCACGCATCATACTGCAGCCTCAAAGCTTCACTGCAACTACACCAGAATGGCTCTGTAGGGCTGGGGAGGTGAAAGCATGATAGAAGAGAGAAGGCTGAAGGTGGCCGTGCCCTGTTGGCAGGCTCACACACTTTTTATAAAGTGGTTTCCTTCTGTTAGTCTCAGGTTTAATATTGTTAACAGTAAGCCCAGACTGTGTACGTGTTTGCAGTGCAGCCGTGTGCAGCGCTGCAGCGAGGCTGGAAGGACTCAGTGCATTTCCACTGCAGGATTGTTTTGACATTGTTGAAATAACA